TCATGAGCACAATTAAGTGTTCTGGAATTCCCATTCTTTGCAATGTTATCCATAATTTGTTATGATCCACACAGTCAAATGCCTTTGCATACTCAATAAAACGCAAGTAAACATCCTACTGGTATTCTCTGATTTCAGCAAAGATCCATCTGACATCAGCAATGATATCCATTGTTTCATGTCCTCTTCTGAATCTGGCTTGAATTTCTGGCAGTTCACGGTCAATGTATCGCTGCAACCACTTTTGAATGATCTTCAGCAAAATTTTACATGTGTGATATCAATGATATTGTTTGATAATTTCTGCATTCTGTTGGATCTCCTTACTTTGGAATGGTTACAAATATAGATCTCTTCCAGTTGCTTGGTCAGGTTGCTGTCTTCCAAATTTCTTGATGTAGACAAGTGAGCAAGTCCTGTACTGTATCCACTTGTTGAAACATCTCAACTGGTATTCCATCAATTCCTAGAGCATTGTTTTTCACCAGTGCCTTCGGCATAGCTTGGACCTCTTCCTTCAGTACCGTTGCTTGTTGATCATATGCTACCTCCTGAAATGGCTGGAAGGAATACTCAGAGTCATTATGCCAAAAAGAATTGGTATGCAAAGATGGACAATGAATAAGGAAGATCAAAGAAGAATGGACATCTTTGAATTGTGGTGTTGGCGAAAAATATTGAATATACCATGAACTGCCAAAAGAACGAGCAAATCTGTCTTGAAAGAAGTACAACCAGAATGCTAGAAGTAAGGATGGTGAGACTTTGGCTTGTGTACTTTGGACATGTTATCAGAAGAGACCAGTCCCGGAGAAGGACATCATGCTTGGTCAAGTAGAGGGTCAACGAAAAAGAGCAAGACCCTCAAAGAGATGGATTGACACAGTAGCTACCACAATGGGCTCAAGCATAACAACAATTGTGTGTATGGTGCAGGACGGGGCAGTGTTTCGTTCCGTTATGCATAGAGTCGCTATGAGTTGGAACCGACTCAACGGAACCTAAGAAGAAGAGAAATGGTTGAATGTCAACCCATTCATTTTGTACAGTGACTCTTTGTGTATTCCTTCCATCTTCTTTTGATGCTTCCTGCTTCGTTTAGTATTTTCGTTGGAGAATCCTTCAATAATTGCACTCAAGGCTTGAATTTTTCCTCAGTTCTTTCAGCTTGAGAAATGCTGATCGTGTTCTACTTTACTTTGTCTTCTCCAGCCACCCTTTGAAATCTGTTCATCTCTTTTACTTCATCATTTCTTCCTGTCACTTTAGCTACTCTACGTTCAAGAGTGACTTTCAGAGTCTCTTCTCATATCCATTTTGGTCTTTTCGTCTTTTTAATGACCTTTTACTTTCTTCATGTATGATGTCCTTGATGTTATTCCAGAACTCCTCTGGCCTTTGTTCATTAGTGTTCAGTGCTTCAAATCTATACTTGAGATTGTCTCTAAATTCAGGTGGGATACACTCAAGGTTGTACTTTGGCTCTTGTTGGCTTGTTCTAATTTTCCAAAGCTTCATCTTGAACTCGCATGTGAGCAATTGATGGTCTGTTCCACAGTCAGCCTCTGGCCTGCTCTGACTAACAATATTGAGCTTTTCATTGTCTCTTTCCACAGATATAGTCAATTTGATTCCTGTGTATTCCATCTGGAGAGGTCCACATGTATGATCACTGTTTATGTTGTTGAAAAAAGTTATTTGCAATGAAGAAGTCGTTGGTCTTGCAGATTTCCATCATGCTGTCTCCGGCATCATTTCTACCACCAAGGCCATATTTTCCAACTACCAATCCTTCTTTGTTTCCAACTTTTGCATTCCAGTCACCTGTAATCATCAATGCTTGAATTTCTGACAGTTCCCTGTTGATGTACTGCTGCAACTGCTTTTGAATGATCTTCAGCAAAACTTTATTTGAGTGTAATATTAATGATATTGTTCGATAATTTTCACATTTGGTTGGATCACCTTTCTTGGGAATAGGCATAAATATGGATCTCTTCCAGTTGCTTGGCTAGGTAGCTGTCTTCCAAATTTCTTGGCGTACACGAGCGAGCACTTCCAGTGTTGCATTCCTTTGTTGAAACATCGCAGCTGGTATTCCGTCAATTCCTGAAGCCTTATTTTTCACCAGTGCCTTCAGAGCAGCTTGAACTTCTTCCTTCATTATCATGGATTTCTGATCATATGCTGCCCCCTGAAATGGTTGAATGTTGACAGATTCTTTTTGGTATAGTGACTCTGTGTATTCCTTCCATCTTCTTTTGATGCCTTCTGCGTCATTTAATATTTTCCCTGTAGAATCCTTCAATATCACAACACGAGGCTTGAATTATTTTTTGGTTCTTTCAGCTTGAGAAATGCCAAGCATGTTCTTCCCTTTGGGTTTTCTATCTCCAGGTTTTTGCACATGTCATTGTAATACTTTACTTTGTCTTCTCGAGCTGCCCTTTGAAATCTTCTATTCAGCTCTTTTACTTCATCATGTCTTCCTTTTGCTTTAGCTACTCGACGTTCAAGAACAACTTTCAGAGTCTCTTCTGACATCTATTTTGGTCTTTTCTTTCTTTCTTGTCTTTTTAATGACCTCTTGCTTTCTTCATGTATGATGTCCTTGATGTCATTCCACGACTTGTCTGGTCTTTGGTCATTAGTGTTCAGCGTGCCAAATCTATTCTTGAGATGGTGTCTAAATTCAGGTGGGATATACTCAAGGTCGTACTTTGGCTCTCCTGGACTGGTTCTAATTTTTTTCAGTTTCAACTTGAACCTGCATATGAGCAATTGATAGTCAAAAGTTCAGTAGTTTGAATCCACCAGACGCTCCTTGGAAACCCTATGGGGCAGTTCTACCCTGTCCTATAGGGTTGCTGTGAGTTGGAGTCCACTTGATGGCAATGGAGTTTGGTTTGGTTGTCCATGTAATCTCACAAAGATAATTCTTTGGAGCCCTGGTGGCACAGTGGTTAATTTGTTTGGTTGCTAACCAAAATGTTGGCGGTTCGAATCCACCAGCCCCTCCTTGAAAACCTGGGGGCAGTTCTCCTCTGTCCTATAGGGTTGCTATGAGTGGGAATTGAAGGCAATGGTACTATATCTCGTATGTATGATTAAATTATGATCCTGTGATCTAGAAAAGCAATTAATTTGTCATGTACCTAACAATAGATTACATTATGTACATTCTATGTTTATTATTGTTTGTTTGTTCTTAAACTTGCATTTTATTTCACAGGCATACAAGTACATTATACAGTGTTTGGTGTTGTATAACAGTTGGCCTCTCACCGAAAGTCAGCTGACATTTGTTCAAGCACTAAAAGACTTAGAGAAAAATGATATCAAAGGTATGTCACCATAAATGTTTATACATGTCGTTTAAGTTTTATATAAATATTTAGTAGAAATTTGATCATGTAATTATTAAAACATCATTGCTTACAATTTGTGTTTTATATCCTGTGGCATTTCCCGTTTCCTTAATTGGTAACATTTGGTTTATAAGAACCAAAAATATATGATGGTTTAGGCCTAGTTTAAACACATTTTTATCTAGTTAGTACAAATTGATTGATCAAGAAATGTACAGGAGATGTTTCTATTTATAAGTTTGTATTTGTGCAAAGTTATTGATTTAGCATGACATTGAAGTTAAGTTCTTAAAATATCTGACAATAAATACTTCAATCTAGAAGAGCAATATCCTAGTGAAAGAGGACTCTGATTTATCAAAACATGAAACTACTCTAGATATGTCACCTCACTATGTTCCGTTATCATATCTGATTCTCTCTATATTTATTTATAAAATTATTAAATTAATTAATGTATGTAAAAAATTTAGAACAGAGCCTAGAACATAATAAATGTATAGGAATTTGTTAAATTTATTTTTAGTTCTGTTAATCTTTCATAGGCTTAGAAAAGTGAACTGAAGTCTCCAACTAATTTTTTTTATTTTTCTTCTATTTCTACCAGGTCTTATTGTATCTATTTTGTACTTTGTTATTGGCTGCATATATATTTGTGACAGATATTCATAGTAAATGATAACCTTTATAATTTTTAAGTTTTCCTTTTTTTATTTTGTAATGCTTTTTGCCTTGAATTTAATCTTGTCCATTACTATCACAACTTCTGCTTTCTTCCTTTCCCTCCCTCCCTTCCTTCCTTGCTTCCTTCCTTCCGTCTTCTTCCTCTTCCTCTTCTTCTGCTTCTTCTTAACGTGTCTTACCTATCCTTTTGATTTCAGTGTTTGCAATCACTTTATTTAAGATCTGTCTCTTTCATTCAGCTTATGGTTTACTGCTGTTGTTTCTATATAACCTTAGAGTCTTTTTTTTTTAATTTCAGTATGTGTTTACCTAATTTGTAAGTATTGATATAAAAGTTATATTTGGTCTTAATACTTTTATATCTTTATTATGCTTTCTGTATTTTAAAATTTTATTTATCATTTTTACATGACCTACATTCTCTTTGTTTCACTGTGGTTGTGTATGTGTATAATTGTGCCTGGGGAGCTGGAGCATTATTTTCATTGTGTTCAAGTATAAGTTTGATCTTTATTTTTCTAGTGGTAACTGTTATGATTTTCAGTTTATAAAACAGGTTCATAAATATATCCATTTCTCTTAATTTACCAAATTTAGACAATATCATTCACTTCCATTAAAAATTATTTTCTTATCATACATTTACACATCATCACAATTTTCTTCCTTTCCTCCATTTCTCTTTTTTTATAATTTGTTTTTGTTGTTGTTGAGAATATACACAGCTTGCATACACCAATTCAACAATTTTTACATATGCAGTTCAGTAACACTGATTACATTCTTTGAGTTCTGCAACCATTCTCAGCCTCCTTTTCCGAGTTTTTCCTCCTCCATGAATATAAACTCACTGCCCCCTAATTTTCGTATCTACGTAACCTTTAGAGTTGCTGTTGTCATTTTGATCCCATAGATAGCTTTTAAAAGAGCATAGTGCTCAAAGCCTAGGTTAAACACATTTTTTTCTAGTTAGTACAAATTGATTTTCTTCAAAGCCAGCAGCCGAGAAGAAATGCTTGATCTCATTAGCAAGCTGAGAAATGGAAAATATAACAGCTGTGAGATTTCACTTTATAGCCATTGTACTGGCAAAGATTAGAAAGTTGGATAATGGTATTTTTTTTACTATAGCCATTGTACTGGCAAAGATCAGAAAGTTGGATAATGGTATTTTTTTACTATAGCCATCATACTGGCAAAGATCAGAAAGTTGGATAATGGTATTTTTTTACTATAACCATCGTACTGGCAAAGATCAGAAAGTTGGATAATGGTATTTTTTTTACTATAGCCATCGTACTGGCAAAGATCAGAAAGTTGGATAATGGTATTTTTTTACTAGCAAAGCTAAACTGTTGTTTGGTTTTGAGTATATTTTGCATTGTCAATAGATATTCTCATATTGTTCTTTGTAACTATAATTCTCTGAATTTCTTAGCCTTAATTCCATATATATATGCATTTGTGTTTCTCTGTATAAGTCTTTTTTTACTAGCGCTTCTCCATCACCCAGTCTTTTATTTTGGGTGGCTGCATTTTGCCCTGAAGTCTTATTTTCAAGAAGGTCTAATGGAGGCTGCGTTTTCTGAGGACTTGCACCTATGCAATCGTCTGCATATGCATTTAGATGGCAACGTGCCTGGGTGTGCAATTCTTGGATCACCCTTGTGTCTGCTTGTTTGTTGAGAAATATTGCTTTACTAAATTTTGACATTAAATGTTGCTGTGGAACAATCTGAGGCAAAAATGATTTTCCTCTTTGCTTTTCTACCCAGATAGTTATTGAATTTCATTTTTGAATTCTTCTTGTCACATGTTTTCTCCTTAATTTCTTTAATAATTGAAAGATATATTTGTCCAAAAAGTCCTGTTTCCTAAGGTAATTTTTCTGACATATATGGTTTATATGTTCATCAAATCTTTTCATTCCCATTTCAAACACCTTTTGTTATTGTCATAGACATGAGTATCTATGCATCAGTCATATTTGGTTCATTTCCAGTTATTACTGATCACAGAATAAGGACAGTTTTGTCTTGACCAGCTACTTGCTAAAGAATAATACAGGAAGGAGCTGTGGTGAGGAAATTAGAACAGCAGATATTTTCTATTTGTATTTGTTTCCTCAGAACTCAATTCTGTGCAATCTGTAACGTTCTAGCGCCTAGAGACACACAGTTGTTCTACTTTAGCACAAAGAGAAAAACATCCGGATCACAGTAAAGGGTCAACCTTGAGGGTTTGTTTTCTGCTTCCACCCAGCTGGCTCTAGTGAGCAATGGCAAGGCAAAGGTAGTTTCTTCCCTCTCCTCCGCCTTTATGTCTGCAGTCTCTTCATACTGCAGAAAATAAACTGGCATGTTTATACTAGTGGTTCTTAAATTGCTTGGTCTCAGGCCACCTCACACTCTTAAAAATTATTGAGGACCCTAAAGAGCTGTTTTGTATTTGAGTTTTACTTCTCTTCATTTGCCATCTTAGAAATTAAAAGTCAGAAATTGTAAAATTATAATCTTAAATTTATTTTAAAATAGCAAAAATATACCTATTATAGGTAGACATCATTTCTGTGAAAAAATAACTATATATCTTTTAATTAGTGAAAATAGTATAATTATTTTACATTTTTGCAAACCTCTTTAACGTCTGGTTTAATAGAAGACAGCTGTATTATCATAGATGTATCTGCATTCAATCTGTTTGTAACATGTTATTTTAATTGAAGAAAATCCAGCCTCACACAGATATGTAGTTTGAAAAGGGATAGGCATTTTCATAGCCTTTTAAGATAATTGTGAATATTTCTTTCCTGTTAAATGAAGCTCAACAACAGGTAGTTCCTTAAAGTTAGCTGCAATGAGGAATTTGAATCCATATCAAAGAACTTTACCTAATCTTTTATGTTAAACCTATTTATCTGCTTGTACTTTGAATATAGATTTTACCTATGCGTGATTTTGTAACATCTTGCATTGATCGTTTAGATATCAAATCACTGATTTATGCTAATTTTCCCAATATTGACACATTTCAGTATACAACATAGAAGAGTCACATTTTTTAACATTACCACTGATCCAATTAGAATTTTTTTTTTTTTTTTTTTTAGTATTGGGAAGCTGGCAACCTCATGGTGGCAGATAAGTTTTCCAAAATTCTAATTTTCACTTGAAAGCTTGAAGTTTATCACTGGCAACAAATACTATCAGTTATTTTCCTGGCACTTTGTTTACTTTTAAGAAAATGCCTGTCAGATAGCCAAGTCTGAGTGATCATAGCTTGTCTGTCAGTCATTCTTTCAAGCACAGTTGGTGTTACATGAAACAGGCAGCTAGTACCACTTGGAAACTCAAACAGCTGCACAACTGGTTTATCTGGAATCACTTCTCTTACTTTATTCTGCAGATGTGCCTTATATACACTTCCCATTTCATTTTGCTTTATTAAAAAGGCATGTACTCAAAGACTGAGATTTAATAAAATTAATAAACTTTACTACTTCATCAAAAACATTTTTTAAGTGAAACTGGCTTTTTTTTTTTTTTTTTTGCCATTGGTGATGGTGAAGAATACAGTGGTTCTTGGTATAGTTTGGTGCCACTGTCTTGATTTGTGCTAAGGCACCTGCAGAATTTTAGCCACCGTTACTATTTCATCATTAGTACAAATGTCAGCATAGCACAAAAGGGGAATAACGTCTTAGTATTGTTATGAACAGTCATGAAGATAGTGCAGGTCCGGGCAACATTTTGTTCTTTTATATACATAAGGTCATCATGAGTCGGAGCCAACGCAACAGCTACTAACAACAACATTATTATGACAATGATTTGGACTCTGTGGATCCTCAGGAACCCGTGGGGGTTTGAGGACTACACTTTTTCTAATAATGCCTGATTCCTATTGTTATTAAGGTACAATGAAATGCTATGTGAGAAACTACATACCTGGCCTTCAAGAAATCGTAGATAGATTTGCCTTATCTCAATTTTAAATGTCTTTAATTCCAGTGTGGACCTAATGACCATGACCCCCTCACCACCCTGCCCTCTGAACCTACTGACTCTCATTTCTGACTCAGTCTCACCCCAAATTCATCCCTAATAAGGATTCCTTGTTTTTTGTATAATTGCCCATACCTGCTTGACAGATATTTCCAGGGAGATGCAGCTCACATAATAGACTTGAGAGCTGCTCCTTCCCTATGTTGAAAAGAAAAATTTGATCAACAAAACAATTAGAGTTAACAGGATTTATTGAATGAGAAGCTGTTTGCAAACAAGGAGCATCCA